TGGCGTTGGTTACGGTTATCCCTTTGAGGGTGAAGGAGGAATTGATCAATTTTTCCTTCTCGTGCCAAAGCTTCAATACGATCACGGAGGATGATACATTTCTCGCTATCATGGCCGTTATGCTCATGGTAGCAACAAAACATGCCCGCGTTATTCGGAGGCGTGTAATCTGGGTGCCTCGGCTTTGGCTTTGGTATCAGGTGAGCTATGCTGGGGTAAATGGCCGCGCATGTGGCATTCAAGGGCGTGTATGTCTTATACCTTGGGGTAGGGGGTATCTTGACGCGGGTTTGACCCACTGCATTGACTGCCTGGGGGCGAGCGTTATTGTGGCGATACCCTTGGTTATCGGGATAGTGTCCCTTACTCTTTTTACTGAAAAGAGAGTGGTGAGGATGGAAATCCTTCCTCTTGCCTTGAAATTGATATGTCTGTTGATTCGGTGAAGCATTATGCAAGGCATGGGGAGGTGCCACTGCTGTTTGGAAAGTCGAGGTCTTCTCATTTAGGTGAGTCTGGCTTCCACCTCCCACTTGTTGATAAAGGATGGTTGTAGGGGGTTTCTCCTGATATGTCTTTGCCTCGGCGGAGGCATGGTTATACGCCTGCGCCATCACCTCAGAGTAAGTCTTCCAAGTATTGGCATTGATCATGTATTTAAAGAAACAATCACGTAGGCCTGCCGTGAAGGCTTTGAGGGCAGTCTTGTCGTCTGCCTCGACACACCGGGAGTATTCATGGCTGAAGCGGCCAGCATACATACGTAATGACTCGTCTGGCTTCTGGCGGATAGTGTACAAGTCATCTGCAGAGTGCAAGCGATCGGTTTGGAAAATGTGTTGGGAAACAAATAGTTTCCTCAATTCCTCAAATAAGTCTACCGTCTCAGGTGTAAGACGACAATACCAATTTAGAGCTCCACCAGAGAGGGTGGAGGGGAAGAGAAGACATCGCTCTTCGTCGGTGTGCATCCGGTATGCCATGGTGGACTCAAAGAGGTTAAGGTGCTCAATCGGGTCCTCTTTTTTCCAGTATAAAGTTGCAAGCCAAGCTTTTGCTTTGTCTTTGCTTGAAGGGGGTGTTTGAGGATCCTCCTTGTAAGAGGGCCAGGCCTGGGTTGGTTCCAGTCAGGTATTTCAGCCTGACGTTCAGCCTTCAACTTGTTTACTTCCTCAAGAAGTTGTAGGACAAGGGGGTCCTGAGCGGAGTTATGTGCCACTGGAGCTTTCTTTCGTAAATCTCCATCTCCTCTTGGAATTAGGAAGGTTTGATCAAGGGCATGTGATTTTTCCCTGGACTCGCTGTACTGGCTTCCAGGGTATGTCTGTCGAAACACCTCTGAGTCCCCTGTACCCTCATGTCTTTCTAGGACTTGTTGCCCATTCCCCAAGTTGGTGGCCGGCTCGGGCCGTGGCAGGGGACCGAGTCTCTCAGAAATCCTTGGGTCATTGATCTTTGAGCTTATATGGATGGAATTCTCTCGACGTTGCTTTAGGAAATCCCGACAATCGCGAAAAACGGCTTTCGATCCTTCTGCCCCTTCAGCAAAGAGGTGTCTCCCTCCGCTTCTCATGGTTCGGGTCGAAGCAACCGGGTTAAGAGAAGCCTCATGTTGATTATCAAATCGAGGGGTAATTTGTTCCCTATCAGGGATATCTATGTCGAATGCATGTGACCCTCCATGCTGGAGGGCACCCAGTTGATGGTTGACTTCCACGGGGGCAACAAGCTCGCGTGTCTGAGCTTGCCTAGCTTCGTGAAGTGTCTCGAAGAGCTTCTCATATTGCTCCTGGAGGACCTCATTCCTCATTGCTATCTTGTTGTTCTGAGCTTCCAACTCATCGACTTTAGCTTGAAGAAGAACTCGTTTTCCTTCCTTCTTTCGTTGCTTCGCACTATGTGCAAGGGGGGTGTCATTCTGTGTGCTGTGGCTTCCTTCGCTTCCCATGTTGGAGAGGGATGCCTGGTCAAAAGAAAGTGTACGAATGATAGAAACCAGCTTGACATAGCTGAAGAGAGTAGGAATAAGTGTCGTTCCCACAGACGGCGCCAAATGTTGATGCACAAAATCAGCGAAGACTTTGGTACAACAGAAAGTGTCAGGTTTTATGACCTTCGCTTGGTTGCTTCGGTCACTAGTGAGGATAAGTACGTAAATGAATAGAGACAGAGAAGCAAACACAGGATGTACGTGGTTCACCCAGATTGGCTACGTCCACGGAGTAGAGGAGTTCTTATTAGTAGTGAAGGGCTTACACAAGTACAAAGGATCAAGCTCTCAATTTAGTGAGTTCTTGTGAATGATTTAACACAAATGGCATTAGGCAATATTGTGGGGGAATGACCCCTATTTATAGAAAAACTTGTAGCTTTGTCACATTGACATGTGTCATGTTATGATTGGTTCTTGATGTCGACACGTGCTGCGCTCTGATTGGCTTCTAATCTTGACACGTGTCGAGTAGTGATTGGCCTCCTGGTCGGAGGGGAACTCTTCTGGGTCCTTGACAGTATAGCGTTGGCCGATGCTCGGTAGTTTCGGGATTGGTCAAGTATGGTACAAACAAATTTCACAGAGAGTTCAAAGTTAAATATCCTTAACAATTGACCATTGCTGACTAGTGTTGATTGTCGTTGGTCAACGGTAAGTATTTAATCTCACATAATCGTATGGCTATTACAGTGAGGTGTTTTTAGTAGTTGAAAATTACCAAACTAACCTTTTTCTTAGCAAGTTAAAACGGGTTACCCACAAGTAGACCTATTAAGAACTAGTTATTAATTGTAACCCGATAACGACCTGACTAGTTAATGTGTGGATCCAAAACCTATTAATTTTGTATCGATTTGTGTCGAGTTAATAGATCGTGTAAGAAATTGTCAGGTCTACTTATTAGGAAGTATTTTTAACAAGACATTAATTTTTTTTATTTTTTTTAATAATTACTGATAAGTGAATTTTATATTATATATTTAACCCTATTCTTAGTATATTTTGGTTAATATTTTGGAAGAATTTTGATACTTTGAATTGTATTTTCAATATAGGACTTTCAACTTCCTCTAGAGCAAAACATGGACAAATGGACGAATTTTGGAGTAATTCCAGTTGGAGGACGTTCGTGAGTCACTTAGCTTGGTCGTATCAAAATTTGGGATTTGTCCATCAAGCGGTTATTTTCTGGCGATAAAATAAAGGAGCGATGCGCGGTGTTGGAAAATGACGTTTCAGGGCTTAAAGTGCGTTTTTGGAGCTCAAAATGACCTCGAATGGTTTCGTGGCCTTCTGGAGATGTGTTCGGAAGGTCCTTATCTTTAAAACAAGCTGTCTTGGGCTGGATTTGGAGGAGATATGAGGCTAAAACGTGGCTGGACAAGTATTTGGCAGATTCTCCTAGTTTAATTAGGGTTTTATCTTCTAAGATATTTTATTATTTTTCTTAGTTTCCTAGTTGGAATAAGAAACCTATGTCTTAGGGTTTGTGGGGGCTGAGGAAATATATGGCTTTGGCCGTCTACAATTTTTCTCTACGCTTATTATTATTCAACTTCAGAGACAAAGAACTTGGCTAGGGTTGTTGGAGATTTTATACTTTAAGGTGTTTTCATTCCTTTTCTTCTTAATAATATTTTCCATGATTTCAGTTATGAATATGCATAACAAATTCCTTTTGCTAGGGCGAAACCTTGAGCCTTAGCATGAATATGTAATTTTTATTTAATTGCTTATGATTGATTGCATGCGCACTTTGAATTATTGATCACTGTTTTAAACTATCTAATTATCTTGATGATTGGCCACCATTAGGATGTTTAGACAAGTAATTGGATGCAATTCGGTCGGAATATCACCGGAGGATTGAGTATTGCTTCTTGTGATTGATAATTGTAATTCCATCTAAGGCGAATATCACGTTCTTAGGGGTTGCATGGTTCTTCAAAAGGCTTTCATAAAACTTAATGAGTCTTGCATTTTCATATTTGATCTGAATATCACAGACGGATTGCTAGTTAGATATACGTTCTTGCTTGAATATCACGAGGAGAATATATATTAGGAAAACCTAACCTTCGAAGTAGCATGTGTAAATCGTAAGTAATTGGTAGAAATTCATAGGATTGCTAGGTGATGGTGGAACCCTAGTGCCTTTATAAATTGGTATTTAAAACTCTTTTCTTCAATTATTTTAGTTTTTGTTTAAAATTCGTTTTTTTTTATATTACCCATTCTTAAACTTTCTTTTCTCAAGTTTTAATTCTAAGTATTTAATTAGGAATTGTTTCTACACAAATTATCCAAATAGTCCTTGAGGAAAACGACCTTGCATGAGCATCTATACTACAATATCCTTGTATTCTTGCAAATATTTCATGTGATTTTGACCCTATTTGCATAGACGTTAAAAATCCTATCAAGAAATTGGCGCCGCTGCCGGGGACTATTTTAGATAATTTTTGTTTAAACTTTTTCTGATTTTTTTTATATTATTTTTCGTCAAAAAAAAAATCAATTTATTTTAACACTTTTGTGTTATTTCAGATTCTGTAAACTGCATGGTCCAGACCAGATCAGGACCTGCCCAGATTGCACAGTTTGATCCAGAACCCGAACGCACACTGCATAGACAGAGGAGAGAAAATAATTTGGTTTGGGACGGTGAACTGCAAGGCACATTTCTGCAAGAATTGTTTGCTGGTTTTGTAGACGATAAAATCACAATGGCGTTGCAATTGCCTGCTGCAGGCAGGCCACTCAGAGAGTCATTGGCTGCCCGAGCTAATGATGTTCCTAATTGTATTGTATATCCTGCCCAGGAAGATGGCGATTCATTTGAGATCAAGCACCATATGCTTGAAATTTTACCTACTTTTCGTGGGCTGCCTAACGAGGATGCGAATTTACATGTTGCAAAATTCATCGTGGGTTGCAAAAATATTTTGATCAGGGGTTTTTCTGCCGAGGCTATTAAGTTACGTCTTTTTCCTTTTACTTTGAAGGATAAGGCAGAAACTTGGTTATTCACTCTACCAGCTAATAGCATTACTACTTGGCAACAATTGCATACAAGATTCCTGAACAAATATTATCCGACATCCAAGACATTGAATTACAAGAGGGAGATTATGACATTCACTCAAAAGCCAAACGAAGAATTTCATGAAGAGTGGGAGAGATATACAGAGATGTATATAAAATGTCCACATGTTAATATTCATCCAGATACACAAATGAATATTTTCTTTGATGGGCTTAATCCTACATCCAAAAGCCATGTTAATGCCTCAGCTGGGGGTTCATTGTCAAATAAATTTGCAAGAGAAGCATTTGAATTATTTGATACAATAGCTACAGAATCTCAACAATGGGCAGCAGAACATTCACAGAAAAGGGGCATTTTTGAGTTATCAGCAGGTTCTCCTAATATGTCTGCACAAATGGAAAAAATGGAGAAGAAAATTGATGCCAAGTTTTATATTATTCTACAACAGATAGCAAATTCTACACAGCAGCAGCCACCTGCAACAACAATTTGCACTATCTGCAGCATGGCTACACACAACATATTGGGCTGTCCACATAAAGACTCTTACCCAGAGCTTGTGGAGCAACATGTTAATATGATGAACAGCTATCAAAGGCCTAGGAATGATGCATATGCAACTCATTACAATCCAGGATGGAGGGATCATCCTAATTTCAAATGGGGTGATAATCAGAATAATTCAAAACCATTCCAGCATGTACAAAAACCTTTTGTGCCATCAAAACCATCCTTGGAAGATCAACTTTCTAAACTGGCAGCTACAACACAAACATTCATGGAAGGCAGCAATCAAAGAATTCAAAATGTTAAAGCATCAATTAAAAGTTTGGAGCAACAATTTGGGCAGCTAGCTGCACAGATTTCAGACAGAGAAAAAGGCAAATTTCCTAGTCAAACAGTGCCTAATCCAAGAGGACATGAAGATTGCAATGTTGTTCGATTTTACGGTGTGGAAAAAGTTATGACAAACGTGCAAACTGTACTGAACAAAATCTGCCTACAATGCCAATTACTGCAGAATCTGAAATGCTAGCAGCAGAACCTGACAAATCTGCAGAAAAACAGAATCTACACAGTACAGAAACAGTCCCAAAACAGATTTCTCAGCGTGTTTATGACCCTCCACTGCCTTACCCTGAACGTGTAATTCCTAAAGCAAGAGATTAGCAACTCAAAGATTTTATGCAGACATTTTCCAAGGTTCAAATCAACATTTCATTGCTGGATGCAATCAAGAAAATACCAGCATATGCCAAATTTCTAAAAGAGGTTTGCAGCAGCAAAAAGAAGCTTGCAGATTTAGACAAAGTTGTTTTGACTGAACAGCACAGTGCAGTTTTGCTACACAAACTGCCACCTAAGAAAAAAGATCCAGGGAGTTTTAATATTTCTTGTACTATTGGAAATTCTAATTTTAAAAGTGCTTTAATTGATTTGGGTGCGAGTATTAATTTGATGCCTTTTTCTGTTTTCCAGCGTTTGGGACAAGGAGATTTAAAGCCTACATCAATTATACTTCAACTAGCTGACCGTTCAATCACTTATCCAATAGGTGTTATTGAAGATCTTATTATTAAGGTTGATAATCTTTATCTACCGGTGGATTTTGTGGTTTTAGACATGGATGAAGACCTTCAAACACCTATCATTTTGGGGAGGCCGTTTATGGCAACAGCTAGAACTTTAATTGATGTGGAAGTTGGAACGCTAACTTTACGAGTTCAAGACCAATATGTGGTATTTAATTTGTTTGAGGCAGCAAAACGTCCTGCTGAACAACAAGATTGTATGCGCATTGATGTGTTAGACAGTATGGTTCAAGATAGTTTTTATGCCAGCTCAAATACAGATCAGTTGCTGCACGTTTTACAAGGGGAAATTGGAACAGATTCTGAAGATGAAGGTGTTCTTGAGTAAATTCACGCATTGGATAGTCTGCCCACACAGTTGCCAAGGTTTAGAAATGTTTACGAGAGCTTAGGGGAGCCAAAACAGCCCCTTAAGCATTCCAGACAGCAGCCCCCAAAATTGGAGCCGAAGCCCTTACCAGAACATTTAAAATATGCACATTTAGGGGCTGCAGAAACGCTGCCAGTTATAGTTGCAGCTGATTTAACTCCCACAGAGGAAGATTAATTGCTTCGTGTTTTGAGGAAATATCAAGATGCACTAGGATGGACAATTGCCGACATCTAGGGTATTAGCCCAGCAATCTGTATGCACATAATTTTAATGGAAGACGACGTGAAGCCAACAGTTGATGCTCAACGCCATCTTAACCCAATTATGAAAGAGGTGGTCAGAACAGAGGTTATGAAATTACTTGATGCAGGTATGATTTATCCTATTTCAGACAGTAAATGGGTGAGTCCTACGCAGGTTGTTCCTAAATGTACTGGCATGACAGTAGTTAAAAATGACAACAATGAGCTTATTCCTACGCGCTTAACTACAGGCTGGCGTATGTGTGTGGATTATAGGAAGCCAAATGCAGGTACACGAAAATACCATTTTCCTCTACCGTTTACTGACCAAATGTTAGAAAGATTGGCTGGCAGGGCTTTTTTATTGTTTCTTGGATGGCTATTCTGGGTACAATCAGATTCCAATTGCACCAGAGGATCAAGAGAAGATAACATTTACATGCCCATTTGGGACATTTGCCTATCGGAGGATGCCATTTGGATTATGCAATGCACTCGCCACTTTTTAGCGTTGTATGATGAGTATCTTTTCTGGCTTGGTTGAAAGAATTGTGGAAGTTTTTATGGATGATTTTTCTGTGTTTGGAGATTCATTTGATCAGTGCCTACATAATTTGTCATTAGTTCTTGAGAGATGTCAAGAAACAAATTTAGTGCTGAATTGGGAAAAATGTCATTTTATGGTGAAACAGGGAATTGTTTTGAGTCATTCAATTTCTAGCAAAGGCATTGAAGTTGACAAAGCTAAAATTGATGTGATTGCAAGGTTGCCACCCCCTACATCAGTAAAAGGTGTTAAATCGTTTTTGGGACATGCAGGATTTTATCGTCGGTTCATCAAGGATTTCTCCAAGATCAGCCGACCTTTGTGCAATTTATTGCTAAAGCATTACAGACATGGACGGGGTAGAGTTTGTCATGTGGCCAAGAGTAAGTCCCAAAATGTTGGTTTGTATGAGCCATTACCAGTTCCTAATGCACCTTGGGAGGATGTTTCTATGGATTTTGTCTTGGGGTTACCGAGGACCAGACGAGGTGTTGTTTCCATATTCGTAGTGGTGGACAGATTTTCCAAGATGGCTCACTTCATCGCGTGCAACAAGACTTTTGATGCAACTCAAGTGGCTGGACTATACTTCAAAGAGGTCGTCAAACTCCATGGCATACCTAAGACTATTACGTCTGATCGCGATCCCAAATTTGTTAGTCACTTTTGGAGAAACATTATGGCGCAAATTGGGCACTTGCCTCCAATTTAGCAGCTCTTATCACCCTCAAACCGACGGTCAAACTGAAGTGGTAAACCGCTCGCTTGGAAACCTCTTGAGAAGTTTAGTTGGAAAGGAAAAACATAATTGGGACCTCACTTTGTCGCAAGCTGAATTTGCCTACAATAACTCCAAGAATAGATCAACGGGAAAGTGTCCCTTTGAGATAGTTTATGGGCTAACTCCAAATGGACCCCTTGATCTTATTCCTTTGCCAATCACTAGTAAATTTAGTGGAGATGCTTCTGACATGGCATCTCACATCAAGGAGTTACATTCTCAAGTGCGAAAAAAGCTTGACGAAAGTAACAAGAAGTACAAGCTTGCAGCCGACAAGCATCGGAGATCTTCCGAGTTTCAAGAAGGAGATTTGGTATGGGGGTTAATCTCAGTAAAGAAAGGTTTCCGAGGGGGAAGTTTGGCAAACTACAAGATCGAGCCTATGGTCCTTGTCGAATACTAAAGCGTCTTGGAGCAAACGCTTACCAAATAGAGCTTCCAGCGGATATGGAGGGTGTCAACAACATTTAATGAGGCTGATTTGCAACCGTACTATGCGGATGTCAAAGAGCAAGACTTTGACTCGATGACGAGTCATTTTCAACCTGGAGGGACTGATGAATAATCATCTGAGGAGTCACACATAGAATTAAAGTCAAAAGGGGCATCATCTAATGAGTATTCTATTGCCAGGGAACGTCCTAGGAGGGTGGTTACAAAACCCATCAGATTCCAAGATTAAGAAGGCTAATAATGTTAAACTGCTCTGTCTATTGGGTTTCTCAATTTATTTCATGTACTAGTTTATGTTCTTTTTTATTGTATAAATAACTTGTACTTGGGATGTGGGAGGGCAAGTTTGATTTGAATGAAATTACTACTATTGAGTTAGCTGTCAAGCTTCTCTTTATTCCACGCTTGCATTTTGCTTTACCTTTCCAATTCTTTACAGCCCTAAGAGGACTGTATCAATGTAAGCCAGGTGATGTGAATCAATATAAAATGATATGTCAGCCGGAGTCACCTAACGTGACCTATACGGCTGAACCTATAGCTCATAAACCAATTCCTGCACACGAGTCGGAACCACCTAATGTGGTCTGTATGACAGGATGGGTGTAAATAAGTACGCTCAAGTGCTACGATCATGTAAAGGTTGTGCGATGAATCGCGGGTCACCTACAAGTTGGAACCACCTAATGTGGCATGTACAGCAGGCCAACACCAAACTTGGATCCAAGGTGAGCGTACGGTGCGGGAGGTGAACAATCACGTGAAGGTTGTGTCCTGACCTCGGGAGGGAGCACTAACATCGGGGTGCAAGATAATGAGCTCTAAATGCATCTACGTATAACCATAAACAATGCAACCACTACCATCATACAGTACTCACCTGAAGCTTACATGGGCATTGGCAGCGTCATTCAATATTATGCATAACTATACTAATGCAAATACTAAAATGTAACGCATCCATGACATGGCATTTAAAACGTAAATTCAATTAAAAGCAGTTTATGGGATCGTAAAGCATATATACGTATATATAGAAAACAAAAGTCCATTACTGGTATGTAGTAGGGTCGTAACCCCCGAGTCTCGCTTGGCTACGCTCGTCCTTCGGAAACGTCTCACCTATATATGAAACAACTAATTTAACATTAATTCAAAAGTACATAACCAAAACCGTTAATAACTTCTCATACACTGCTCAATTGGGGTGTTTGAATATATCATCGCGGTCTACTCAACACCATGAGCATCCCCATATTTTTAGAAAAAAATTATGATGTCTCACGCGCCATGACGGGCCGGCCAAGGCATAGCCACACGCACCGGCCAAGGCATGACCACATGCTCCGGCCAAGGCATGACCACACGCACCAGCCATGCGTATGCACGTTGGACGGAAACCATAACAGCGTTAGGGAATATTCCATTAAATAGAATCATATTCCGTTAGATTTACCTGACGCCATTAGTATATTCTATCAAAGTTGACATAATATTCTCTATCTTCTCCGATGGTCTTCGCTAGAGCTGCCGCAGGCCACCGTCTGCAACACTGGATTATGGAAAATCTTAAAACCTTAATATCTCTCTCAATTCTCAACCAAAATTCACGAATTTTATATAGATTTGAAGCTCTTGAAGTCTAGAACACAACCATACCTATTTGAAGTCCTAAAACCGACGGAAAACGGCGGGAAAAATTCTTGAAAAAACCGACTAACTTTGCAATTCCACGATCGTGCTTATTCCGACGTCCAAACTTCTCCAAAACTAGTCTAAAATGTTGGGGAAGTTGAGTGAATGCCTTACTAAGCCTCAAAACCAAGTGAATCACCCACGATCACGTCAAAGCTATTTTAGCTCTTCGTTGGAGTTTTTGAATTCCAGGGTTTTTGAGATCAACTCACTTAACAAATGGTACCACAAGATTCTAGAGCTCGAGAGAAGTATGATTATAGAAATCTCGAGTTCGATATGTAAAGTATGATGGTGTATGAAGGTTGGAGGGCTCGGGTTGTACGGACGAGATGGTGTATGAAGGTTGGAGGGCTCGGGTTGTACGGACGAGAGAGAGAGTTCGAGAAGAAAGGAGAGGGTGAGGGTTGCACGTGTGTGTGTGTGGTCACGGGTTAGCCAATTTAAAATGGTCTCAAGCCCTAGCCCTAATTGGGCTAAGAATTCCTTACACAAAAGTGTTCAAATAGGAGTAAAACCAACCCAATCTCACTTATTCATCCGTAACATTTTCGTTACGAACCCGATTCGGCCCTAACTCACGTCAACACACTCGTGACGACGTGTACAATTTAATTACGTCAGCTAGAAAAATAATTTAAAACTATATTCATACATCCACATCACTAAGCCTCGAAGGCATTATCGTCACTTTATACTCTTGGGAGAAAATATATATAATAATTTGGGACGGGTTGTGACAATCAGAATTTACAATAAGTATTTTTCTTCTTTTGTCTTTAAATTTTGGACACTTATCAGAATTTACAACTCTCGTATGTCAGTGGTGGAAGGCCTGAAAAATCTCTCTCCCGTGTTGAGCAAGACAAGAATTGTTCCTGAATTCCACAAGGCAACAAACAATTTCGAATTCATAATAAAATATATAATTTCTAGGCCCCCTCCCAACTTCACTCACTGTTCCGTTTCATCCATTTACTCTTAATATTAGTCATTTAAAGTAAGTTTTGTTGGTCAAATTAAAGTTTTCTCTAACCCTAGTACCCGACGCACCAAAACCCAGAGAGACAAACCAAATTAAGTACCAAAGGGTTTGGTTCTTTTCCATACATTGTTAAAGTTGAAACTGGATCTTTTTTCTTCTCTTTCCTTCATTTATCTACCGTACGCTCTCATGTACATATACAAAATTCTGGCTCCGCTCTTGAGTTATGTATATCAATCTTTTACTTGTCCAGAATTCCTACCTGATGAAATTGATGAATTCACTACTTTGTAAAATCCAAAGTTCTCAGACTTTGCATATATGGTCAAAATCAGTCGTTGATCATGAAAGCTTTTTATTTTAGATAGTATATTCACGCCTATTTTTACATCCTTATTAATTTTTTACCCTTAATCTTTTTTTAATTTATTCGCTTTGATTTTTAATTTATTCGCTTTGATGGCCACAAATTAAGAGAGAAGTAAGATGTTTTGATGGCCACAAATTTATTCGCTTTGATGGCCACAAATTAAGAGAGAAGATGTTTTGATGGCCACAAATTAAGAGAGGTGTGTTGTAAAAATAATTTGTGGATTGATTTTATGATCAAAGGAATCGTTCGTTGACATTGTATATTGTTGGAGGTTGGAACATACATATATGTATAAATTCATGTCTCGGTAATTTACTCAACTAGTAAGTCTAGTACTGCTGTATAGTTTATTAGTAATATATTTTTTCTTCTTATTTATAATATATATATATATATATATATATATATATATAAAGTACTGTTTATAAATGTCCACAAGTGAGATATTTAGTTGGCTAATGCTTTTGATTTTATGATCAAAGGAGAAAGAAGAAACGAACTGGAAACCATGCACATGAAGGAAAATTTATTTAGATAAGCTAGATTATTACATGCATAAGCCTCCACGTAGCATTTATTTACTTATTACAAGCTAAGCTCACGCTCCTTTTAGCCCTAATACATACAGCCATTTATAAGGCCTGTTATTTCTCCTAGTCTCTCTACCTACCTTTATTTGTTACTAGAAAACCCCAAAAAACAAAACACTACGTGCCGCATTTGGTAGATTTTAGGTTATCTCATCACATTCATGCCATGATCGACCATGGTCGGCGTGAGGAAGAAGAGCTGGCACTCAACACTCGGGTCTCCTGCCTGTTGTTCTTGAGATTCCCTGACCTGTTGGCGGTCAATCTGGAAGGCATTGCGAAGCACATCCTCCGGGATCGCCCTCAACACGGCAGTCCTCCCTGCCATGGTGTTAATGAGGGCCAAGTCATTCGTCCTGAAGGAAATGTACTCGAATCCCTGGTTGCCTGCCTGGGTGATGACGGCGTGGTTCTGGGGAATCAAGAACACCTGTCCCTCGTTGACCTGGTCGTCCAAGATGGCGTCTCCGTTCTCGTTCACCCACCTGAACCCTAGCATTGCCTCTGATCACGTATACAAGTTCGTTCGCGTTGAGGTTCCAGTATGGACTGTATATGGCATTCTGCACATAATTTATTCTCATTAGTACATATTATCCTTATATAATCTTTTTTTTTTCTTTCTATAAACTGTTATTAGTAATTTTTTTTTTAACTTCATACATATAACAATTTTTATTTTTTCGAAATTCATAACCTCTTTCAAGAATATGTAGTAAATTATTTATTTAAAATCTAGTGTACCATCTTCTAACATTACTTACGTTATAAAGGACGCCATGCTCGGCGCTGAGGCGGAGAGCGCTGAGGATGGGGAGGGTGCCGCTGTTGACGACGGAAACGCGGCCAGCCTGAGGGCTGTAGAAGTCGGCGTTAGAAGGGTCGCGGATGTTCTCCTTGAGCCTCATGCTGCAGAATGTCTCCTCCAAACCGTTGGCGCGGCCTCCTCCTCCCATCTGGCGT